GGGTATGACATGGTCATTGCACTTATGAAAGTTCAGAAAACTTCTAAAGAAATGATGGATGGATGAAATGAAAGCAGAACAGAAGTTATGACTCCCAAGTTTTGGATCAAAATGAACCTTTTTAATAATAGTCGCTGTTTCACAACATAAATTGTTTTGCAACTAAATAAGCCATAGGACTGACATACTTCTTTTATGAGCAAAAATTATAAATTACAATCTACCAAGTTTCTCCATATCAGATCCAAATAAATGTGTCAGACAAGCTAATAACATAATAAACCAGCCTTACATTTCATCATGGAAGAATATGCAGTTCTATCTCTGGTTCCAGTGAATAAAGTTAACAAAAGTGAATACTTGGAAATGCTGGATATGCTTGTTACCAGGCAATTGAATACAGTTACCACACATGGGAATTACCAAAATGCAGCACTGAACATTTTCCACTGTAGTGATATCTGTTATACAGCACCTTGAGTATGTGAGAGCTCAACAGCTGCTGTAATGAACATGCAATGCCAAGCTCAGAAGAGAAAATGATCAATGTACCAATCTAACATATCCAAAGGGGCATACATGATTATAGAATATTCATGACTACAATTATGGTTTTTGGTAGAAGCATATTGCTGAGAGATGCACAATCTGAAGAGGGATGGTAAGACCAGTTCGCCAGGGTTACTGATCAGGAACCCTGTCTTGGACCTGGAGTGCTGAAATGGGATAGTCGAAGTCTTGGCATTTGCCCAAACCCGTGAATACCAGTCAGTACATACCATTCCAGGTGAAATTGAGGTCCCTGCTGAAAATAATATCACATCTTCACATATCGTGCAAAATACTTGTCTACAAGTTTAGAAATCTATCAGGTCGGATGCATTAACTCATAGTAAATTAACAAAGACTACAATCAGGCATGAGAAAAATGATTGACAAACAGAAGCACAGGGCCCCCACAAGAATCTTATTGTTGTTTGCCAAGTTACATGTACAGAAGTTATTAAAGACACACTAAAGGTTGCTTTATACTTGAGGTCTGTACCCTGAAAGTATTTTTCTGTTCACCCCCAGCAACCTGGAACCTGATTGACTACATATTGCATTTGCTTGCGTTTCACATCTGTAGATATCCATAAATTGTGTGCCATAAGTCAACCATGAAGACAGGCCAGAATGACTATGGTTGCCTCAATCACCAACATTGTGAAACTAATTTTCAGTGACAAACCAATTACTCTATGCTTCACATAATTCTTTGGAGTCATGGCCATATTCATGGTAATCTTACTGCATTCCTGCTGACGCTGTGAAAATATAGAACACCATGCATCTAAGAAGTTGCATCATAAATATGCTCATGTCTACCTACAAGACCTATGTTTAACTGTTCACAAGCATGCTTGACCATATTCTGTCCTTTTAAGCATGGTGAGACAAATATTCTCAACCGTCTGCACCACTAGATAAGTATTTATCAGTTAAAAGTGCAGCAAGCATCTCCCATTACTTAAGAATTTGCTATTCAAAAAGCTTTTCATTGATTTTGATATGGCTATCAGGAACTTCTCAATAGCTAAAGTTAGTGACTAGTGGAAAAGGTGGACAATTGAAGCAGGTGGCATTTCACAAGCAGAAGTTCCACATTGTCCCAGAAAATGACTTTTACTGTCCAAAACATGCCATAAACAAATAATCAAGTGTGATTATGAACAAGGTGTAAAAGAAAGACCTCTCACACACCAAATGTATTCAGAATACTGTGGAAGTTATGCATTCAAAATTATTAAAAACTGTGTTGTACATCCATGTAAGTCACTAGATTATGCCTCTCATAAACGGGCTTGGAAAAAAAAATTGCGCATATACCTTACCCAAGTTCCTTAGGATAAGACAACCATGTACAAGAAACCAATATTGTGTCACTCAAAGAAACAAGCATTTACTATTGCCAAGTTACATGTAAATGACTAAGCCATCGAAATCTTCCATCATATTAACATTCCTAAAATCCCAATTACAACATACTCAACACAGACAATATTTCCCATTGTTCTATTTTAGAACAACCACCTTAAGAACAAAGTTCAGCATAGCCCTGTTACTAATGGTACAGAATGAAAAATTGAAAAAGCATACATTCTATAGAGAAAGCATGAGAAATTTTAACAATCTGAATGTATATTAAGAGGAATACAAGGAGCAAGGAGCTTCTATAACCATAGAATCAAAGGTAAAATCAAAAGCTGCCTTTAGTAATCGGAAAACATTTGAAAGAAACATAGATTCCTCATGTAGGCCAATATTTTAAATCACGAAAACATTTGAGAGGACAGGAAGGATCCAGAAGTAAATAACCTGGAAATAAATAGTGCTACATGGAATTGTTAGCTACTTTAATGTTCAGTAAGAGTACACAAAGGACTGGTGCCTTTTAATTACTTCTTATTAGCATTTAAGGTCTATGTATCTATTAGTTCTTAAATAAACAATAACAGAAATTCAGTGAAGTCACCGGCCACCCATTCGCTCACCTAGGCGCCCAAGCGACCGAGGCCCGAGTACCCACCTCTTGGGCTAAGCAGGCATCTTCGCTCAGGCGCGGCCCAAGAGCTCGCCTGGTTCAACTCAGGCTAGGTCGAGCCTAAGTCAAACTAAACTAACTTATCTGGTTCAATTAAACTAATTAACCATCGAGTTTGAATCGAACCAAACACAAGACAACTAACTAGTTCGATTGAACCAGTTATCTGTCGCACAGTCATAGAAACCTCGAAACCCCGTGCGCGAGAAACCTAACACAGAAAACCACTTTCTCGTTTCTGCACGACGACAATGTTCCTCCCATCGGCGAACGACAGCAGCAACCTTCTTCCCCAGCAGCGTTGTCCTCCAGTGGCAACGACAACATCTTCCTTCAGCGACATCATCTTCCTTTGACAGTAGTGGTGGCATCTTCCTCCGACAGCGACGATGATTGCTTCCCCTCCCTTCCGATATATCTCTCTCTTTCTCCTCCTCCTTCCCTCCTTCCTCCTACCTCTGTCCCGTTCACCACAACCCTCCTACGTTCACTGCAACCACCCATTTCCCCCCTCCCGGACTCGTCGTAGGCCCCCTCCCTCTATGAACAACAGCTGCCTGTTGTAGTGAACAGCAGCTGCCTTCTTTGCTATAGTGAATCAGTAATAAAATGTTGATTATTATTGCTATTGCTGTAGTGATTAGTGCTACTTTTTAGTGTTTTGTATTGTCATTGCAGTTTAGAATCTTGAATCATGGCTATAGTATGCAGCGCTTCAGACGAATCATCAGTGCTACTTTTTAGTTTATTTTTATTAATCATGATATATAATTTTTAAATTATAATATTTGGGAGCATCTAGTTTCGCTCGAGCAAGCGCCTAGCGTCTTGAGCATTTTGGGTCCGCACCTAGTGCTTTTGACTACCTTGTTTCACATAGAAGGTAATATCATTTTAGAGATATATCAAAAAGTAATGAACCGATTGGAAAATTCAAATTTAAGATCTATTAAAAGAAAGCCTCTGCACACTCCTGAGAAGACTCATCTGAGGAATATCAAAAAAAGCCTAAGCTTATGCACACATTTAACATACTCATTTAGACAAACTTTGCAAAATTGACCATTCCACAACAAAGAATTTTTTAAGCATAAGATTATTAGGATAAGAAAAGGAACATGCAAACCATACTTGACAATTTGGGAAAGAAGGAAAAAAACAAGTGTAAATGTTCCTAAACTGTTGCAATGAAAGTTGCCAAAAGCATGTTTGTAAGCAGCTAATGGAACCTAGACAAATAGTACAATCCATTGAGGGCCTCTGCCGGAAACAACACCACCACCACTACCATCACCACATAAAAAATGAAAGGAAAAAACACTCACTGACCCATACGGAACCACAACAAAATAACAGATAAAATATAAACAATTGACATAGATGTTAACTAATATGATCAGATATTCTTGTGTAACAAGCATATTTCAAAGTACTTGTCTGTTGCAATACAATAACCACATACATGCAAGTTGATAGGCTGTGCTAAATGTCAATATGAAAGGATTTAGAAAATATGATTGAAAGTAACTTTCAGTGCTTTGAAATATGCTCATGGTATGGCAATATTTTAAATCCTTCATAATCAAGTATTTTTTTCATAAAAATACACAAAGAAATCACCAGATATTAGCAAGAAAGTCAATTGAAGTTTTGTGCTCATACTACATTTAAGCAGCTAAGTTATTAGCAGACGCTTGTCCACGAGCAGGTTTGCAATATGGTTGAGGAAATTCCAGCATGAGCAAGCTCTGCAGAATATGAGTTGAAGTACCAATTGTTGCATAAGACAAAGCATCAGAAAATACAAACATCATCATTAGTCTTCCAAACTTATTTTTTGGATTATATTAAGTGGGATCATTGACAATATGCTGCCCCATAGCTCATAAAACAAAACTGCTGCAGCACTGTCTCACAACTGACAAAAATGAGTCAAAAGGTGTTTGCTCCTCAATATGAATAATACACTAAATTATGCAAAATGTCATTCTGCATGCACAGAGGAAAAAAGATAGAAGATTTTACTTTGCAAGACAGTTCTTCATATGATTGCAAAATCAGGTAATCTACGAAATTTAATTTAAGTATAATCTTGCTTTGACCTGTAATTTACTTCATATTGAAAGTGAGAAATATGGCCAGATAATGGCATCAGCACTCATGTACTGATTAAAACAGTGTACTACAAGTTGTTTACTGTATTAAAACAGTTGCATACTCACACCATGTAGCTGCATTTATTTTATTTGAGTTGTACTAGTAAATAGTGTACGAAGCAAAACAGCAAGCTAGAAAATTGCATAAGAGATTAACACTTAAAGAAGAACAAAGAAGAATGATTAAAGAACATATTCCACCCATTCAGCTCCAAAAGAAACAAAAAAATCTACCGAAGGCCTATTAATAAACTAGCATGGTAGAACCAGGGGTGGTAGAAGAAAACCTCAATATGAGATCAGCAATGTTCCCATAGATCATATCAATGCTTGCAGCATTATACGGCCTAGAAGCAAGAAGCTGAGTAATCATCAACCACAACCAATTCTAAGCAAATCAGGAGGAAGGGAAGCAGGATCAAGCTCCCAGCAGTCTCTTGGCAGGTCTATTCCCTGGGCCTCTGAAAGTTTTCGAGCAGGTATTTGGTGTGAAAACAACCTCATATCATCTTTCTTGAGCCACTTAATAGCATGGCAACCGATTGCTTGCCTCTTAAATATTGTCTTGTAACCTACCACCTTTTCAAGATATGCGATGCTCAACCCGTACATCTCACTGTGACTGGTGAGGCAAACAACAATATCGTAGTGCCTTCCATCCTCTCTTGCATTCTGCTCACCGTAGAGAGCCCATACAGAACCCTTATTAGGATAAATCCTATAAAGCTCCCTTGCAGCTCTCTCACAATTGACGTAATGGGAGAAGCAGTTCACAGAATCTATGTCAACCTTCCTCCCCACCTTGAACCGCCCACACGAAATATGCAACCCCGACTTTTCCCCCAGCACCATAGCCTCATCCCCATTGCACTGAATGTCTAACCAGCTCATTGTCATTCTGAATGGATTGAATGATATCACCTCATCTATTAGTCCATAATGCCGTGGCATTCCATCATCATCATCATATATAGCCCAAATCTGCCCCATTTTGAAGCTTTTCTCTGTCCTGTCCTTGTCGAAATCGTAGAAATCGGAGTCCTCCACTGCCATAAGGCTTACATCATTGTCTTCTTCCATTTTCACGGCAGCTAAAGCCTTCTCCTTCCCTCCGTTCCTACTCTTGTCCTTTCCCTTCGCCTTGATGAGCTCCATCTGTATCTCCGCCAAAGTCTTCTCCGCACTCGGCCGGGGCATCTTTGCAACGGGGGAAGGCGAAACCCTAGTTTTCCTCTTCTTATCCCCCACCAGCGCCGGAAACCGGGGAATCCTAGGCCTGGAACTGGACCTCGACCGAGTTACCCTAACCCTGGCCTCATCTTTCATCGCTCCGTTCTCATGAGCGGCGCTCGGCTTGTCTCCAGCAGGGACCTCAACGGCGAGGAAGCTCTTGCGGCAGCTAGGGCACACGAGTCGGTAACCGACGTACTTGCGATCGAACTCGTGGAGGAGGCGGCAGGTGGTGCAGGCGGTCCAGAAGGTGACGGGAGGGATCGGGGCCTCGCCCTCCGCAGAGGCGGCGGCCGATAGTGAGAGGCGGAGCCGGAGGTCCAAGTCGCGCTTGAGGGAGCGGTCGGAGAGGAAGCGGAAGGAGTCAGCGACGCGCTTGAAGGCGTCCTCGGCGGCGGGGAGGGGGTGGGCAGCGGCCTTGTCGGGGTGGAGCATGAGGGCGAGGGCCTTGTACTGCTTGCGGACGGCGGCCGGAGTGGAGAAGGGTGGGAGGCGGAGGACCTTGTAGTGGTCGGAGGGGTCGGCGCGGAGGACCTTGAGGGCGGTGACCATCTGGGTGACGCCGTCGAGGTCGGGAGCGAGCCGGGCGGCGCGCTTCGCATACTTGAGGGCGGACTTGAGAGACGACGAGAGAAGCTTCTCCTCCGCCAGGGACTTGAGGCGGCGGGCCTCCGCCTCCGCGTCCTCCTCAGCGCCAGGTTCTGAGGGCGGCTCCGCTGATAGTGGCGGCGGCGGAGGTTCGGACTCGGGTTCCATGGGATGGTTGGGTCGGAGGAAGCCTGCTTCGTTCTGTCGAGCGCATTTACAGACTGCGGCGGACGGAGACTGATGGGCATCACATCGGACAGATCTATTTGATGGACGGTTCTGCTTCTCCGTAATTATCTGAAGCCTTTATTATTATTCTAAAAACCATACATTAATATCTTATTTTTAAAAATAATTTTAACTTTAACTTTATATATATATATATATATATATATATATATATCTTTTTTTAATTTTTCTCAGATGATATCTCTTTTCATAATTCTCAAATAGTCACCTCATTTTTTTAATATTCCAAAAATATCCTTTAAAAATTTATCATATTTTTCTGCCCAAATCCAAAAAAAATTCGTCAACTGTTTACAATATTTTATGTGTTATTTTTTATCCATAAAATACTGTATAGTATTTAAAAATATTATATAATATTTTTAGAATAAAAGAACCGTATAATATTTTTGAACTAATATTGATGTCACAGTATTTTTGAAACAAAAACACTGTAAACAATTGGTGAAAAAACCTTTTTAATTTAGATAAAAAAATACATAATAACTTTTGAGGGGTATTTTTAGAATTTTTGAAATAGTGAGTGACTGTTTGAGAATTATGAAAAGGGGTACCATCCGAATATATATACATATATATATATATATATATATATATATATATATATATATATGTATATGTATATATATATATATATATATATATATATATACATATACATATACATATATATACATATACATATATATACATATACATATATATACATATACATACATATACATATATATACATATACATATATAAATATGTATATATATATATATATATAAAAGTTAACCTTGTTGAATAGAATTCAAATCTTGATTTGAGCAACTAAAAAAATTTAATTTGTAACCCTAATTCCTCATTTAAATAGTGATCACTTATTTTATGTATAGCTCTTGTCATATTGGAGAATGATACTAAAGAAGAAAAAGAGAAAATTTGCATATAATTTTTTTACTTTTTATATTTACTTTTTTTATTTTATTAAGTGTTTTTTGTTACATTTGCTTTTGCTTCACCCATAAATAAATGTCGAGAATGATATGATAGCCATCATATTATTAATTTTTCAAATTTATGATCCATTTATTAAAGGTTACAATAACATAGAATGAAGAAAGGGAAATTTTGAGTTCCGCAAACTTATGAGATTTTGCATGCATCTTTCTCCAGTTAAACACCATTTTCCATAAAAGTTTGCAAAAGAGGCCCTATGATTGATTACACATGTATCATACAACATTTATGAAATGCTGCTATATGTGCCCTTCTAAGATTGTAAAATGATATGAAAGTTTAATCAATATCAGTTGGGCATGGCTTATATTTTTTTATTCCGTTAGTGTTTCCATGAATATGTTACATATATTTTATACAGATAATTCAGCTGTTACAGATATTTATACAGATATCATTGTCAATCCTACATTAAATTATAACATTTTTCAGCACGGTCTCAAGCCTCAACAATAACAAAAGAACAAGTTTACAAGGTCAAGAAAAGGTGTAGGGGACAAAAAAATTTAGGTTATTTAGAAAAAAAAAAGTTCATTTTAGTGTTGGTCGTCAAGCTGAATTACAAAAACAAACCGACATGGCTCGCATGCCGAATCTTGTCGCACCTCAAAAATTGATTCAACTGCATGGATTATGAGAGCTGTTGAGGGGGTGCTATGAATTAAATTAGGTTTCCATACCTCTTGCAAGAAAATACCAATGTCAGAAGCATATGGAGATGAAGTATAAAAGTAAAAAAAGGAGAAACAAGAATATGTGTCATATTTGGAGGGACCCTAATTTATAGTATGGGATTCTCTGATTCAGTGAATATTTTCTATCTTGATTCATGATAACATGAAGAACAGTTTATTTTGCTATTGGCTAACAAGTCAGTATCCATGTGTCAAGTCTGACAAGACGATGAATATTAGCCAAATCATACAAGTATATACTACATTTCTTACATTTATTTTGCCCTTAGGTAAATCACATTAATACTCTCAAGTAATTCACTTCTCTTGCAAAATGGTTCACTAAAAGAAGAGCAAATTGATACTTTGGTATATTGAGTTTCTCTTTGGCCCTACTATGATCAAAGTGTCAACAATATATGGATCTTGACAAAAGTAGCATGTAATAAAATGATCCAGGAAAGTTAAATGTGTGCTGATGTGGATTTGGAAGAAATCTGAAGCACAACTGTGAAAGATTGCATCTCCTAGAAAGCTAAGATTTATATCAATCCATTTCTATTTTCTTGCATCGATGTCCCCTGTTGTCAAATAATTATCATGATTTAAGCCATCAGTTGTGTGAGATTCTAAACAAAATCAATGACCCTACACGATCCCAAAAGCATACAACTCAATCTTTTAGAAAAGTAAAAAGTTGGCAATACAGTTTTCCTTTAACTACATATGACAAAGGAAAAGAATATAATTTATTGTTGCAAAAATGAATGCAAACTTCCCAGCAGACTTGAATAATTTGCTATTTATTGGTTTAGAATGCAAATGGTATGAGATATTAAGAAAAGATCAACAAGAAGAACCTTGATCATGCCAGTAGGAGAGACATTGATCTTTCAGACATCAGTAGGAGGCTTTAACCTTGTCAGACGTCGGATTCTGCTCTTATCAGTGTTCTCCAGCAGCCCCTTCAGATAAGAAGCATGTTATAAAAAAGAAGAAATTGCAGATTTGGGGAGGGGAAGGCATCGTCTTTGGCTAAGATGATGACACAAAATATTAATGAGAAGGTGAAACTTGAAATTTCAAGTATGTGCAGGTTACTGATCCATCAGTTCATAAACTTGGAAGTTCAAGAACCATATGATTATTAGTTATCATGAAAAAGGAGAAAAATTAGATGAATTTTTTTGTGTACCTTCCAAACTATTTCATCCAGACATAGGCAAATTTTTCCATACTTGTCAAGGAATAGGCGTTCCGTAGGAGGCTTACCACATGCATCCTTCACGGAGGAGGTTATCACATAGATAACTTCGGACACTTGAATCAGGTTAAACAAGAAAAATTAGTAAAAGTATGATTTTGTGATTTTACAGGCTAATAGTAATTTTCTCGTAAGTCAAAATACATTCATATCTAATTTACAATATTACAGTCATAAATATATGCACTTACAAGTTAATTCATCATACTCATCCTTGCCAACAACGTAAATTGAGACATCTCCAAGCATGGTATACACAATATAAACAGACCTGCAAATCGATAAGAGTTAACTTGAAAGATAAAAAGTGATGAAGATAAGCATGCTGGGAGAGTGTGTATGAGCTTTATCCTTAATCCTGAAAACAGTGATAGTTATCTTGTGTGCACAGCTAGATTTTAGTAAGGAGTGATGATTCACCACAAAGTAGCACAGTAAAAGGTTCAAAGTCATTAGCAAGTGATTAACATTTGACCTTTTTCAAGAGCAAGCATCTTCAAAGCTTCGATTTAGTGTCCCAAGAAAACAATAACATTGATGGCAACTCAATGTCCCAACCATTTGGGGTTGGTTTGTCCCAAGAAAACAACATTGAAGCCAACTATTAAATCAGTATCATCAAAGTTGGTTTGTCATCTTGATACATCACGCAAGTTTTCTTTAAGCCGTCTAAAAATTATTTGCCATTACAGAAGGGTAACCAATGACACTACTAGACAGATACATATTTGCATAGTTAAAAAGTGTAGTTTCTTCATCTCATAGTAGGAAGAAAAAGAAAGACTAATATTCAGTAAGATTTACTTAAGTTTTTTTTTTATTTTAGAGAATATTCCTAGGCAAAAAGAAAATCCAAGCATGAGAGAAGGTATCTGACAAAGTACAGCAAGCAGATATATAAATTCACAAAATGCAGCCAACAATGTAGAACTCAAATATACAACAATAGGTGATTTACATACTTGTGAGAAGCAACAAAAAGTTCTTCATTTTTAGCTCTTCTTAGATTATCTGCTCCTAGCTTTACTAGAAAAGATCGCCAATGGAGTCTCTCCTCTGTAGGAACTCCCTGAAAGCTGCATTGGAAGAAAATCAATGATAGAATCTTGCTATTTGGAAATTTTGCATCATCATGATGCCAAGTAACAAGGCCAGTAAATTTAATGATTGCTCTAGATAATAATAAATCAAAACAGTATAAAGCAAAAGAACAGCTATATTCCTAGAGTACTCTAGCAAACCATGGAACTTCATGAACTCATGCCATGTTCAGATCTGATGAAACATCTAGAACAGCATGACCATGGAGAAAGTTCAAAAGAAATAGAAGTTCAGTAATGTGATGACCTCTCTGATGACTACGTGATACGAAGAATTGATAAGAGAGATGGCAAAGGTAGAAGAAATCTAACTTCACATCACCAGCAATACTAGTTGCCTTACCTCTGCCTTCACCTTTACTAATTGAGAGATCTTCTTTGTTAATTGATGATAGGGTAAGCAAACAATTTTATAACTATCTTCTTAACATATAGATCAGGTCAGCAAATGTGGATTCAAAAGTAACATCACAAACATGGATTTCAACACAGACACCACAGACATACACCAAAACCTAGTTCCTGGGTTGTATGTAATTAATACTGGCTCTGCAATCTTCCTATTTAAGATGTAAATCAGAAGCATTATACCTTACAGTAATTTGAAAGTGTAGAATAGAGATTAAACGAAAGCTCATCACTCTGAATTCAACCAAGTGCCAGTTTAAGACATTCCTATGGTAAAAATAAGGAAATTTTAGGAAAGGAAAAGACAATTTAAAATCAATCTACGAGCATAGTAGGATTTGATGATCCAAAGTACAAAATTTGCCAGATGAATCACACTCCTCTTCAGCAAGGGCTCTATATGATCTTGGATTTGAACAATAAATTTTCCATCATGAAACTTCTCTTCAAAATCTCGAGCAATTCAGTCAGAGCATGATTTATGGTTGGCCCATACATTTTATTTTTGCAAAAGACCTACCCTATAACATTATCTGTGTTAGAGTTCAATATAGATTGGGCCATCTCATAATAAGATAAAGATTTTAATCGAATGACTAGTAATCCCCAAAAGCTTAATCTATTAGGAAAGATCTAATTTACATTTCTTTCAAGGCACCAAAATTAATTCTTCGAAACAGAAAAGACAAGATTAAGATCAGTGCCATAAATTTTGTTTCTCGTGCAGTCTTATGGTCAAGAAGGTACAATAACAGATGCTTATATGCAGACAACAAGAACTCGTGTGACAAGGTACTAAACAGGAAATCTGCATGACAGTGTGACTAATGACAATCTAAACTGAGCAATTCTTGCAATAAACGCAGTTGCAAATGAAATCCCTATGACATAGTAAAGCATCATAAGCTATCAAAGTAGCTCCTTTATCTCCAGGACGTCGACCTCAATTTACCGGATAGCCCCAAAAATAATGGATCAGACTGCTTAAGCATCCTTTATTCTTCAACAAAATGTGGCTTCTTGATCACGAATAACCGCTGAAAACTAAACATTTTTTTTATTCTATTGATAAAAAAAAACCGATACCCGATCTCTTTTCTGGTCTTCCCAGAAGCGAGAGCCCATGATCAACTCGCGAAGACTACTCGAAGAAAACGGAGACAGCTCACGCCCCGATCATCCATGAATCAAAAACCGAATCGGGCGCATGCAAGAAAGAGGGATTGAGATCTAATGGAGGGGCGGGGGAGGTCATCGAAGGGTTACCGTTCAACGAGGATGTTGCCCTCGGTGTTCGTGAAGAGAACCGCAAGCAGCATCCTTTCTCCCCTTCCTTTCTTTTCCCTTCGTCGCAGAGGTAGTTATATGTGGTTCGGATCCGAATTTAACGGTCGCAAGATCAGAGACGTTATCGGATCGGATTTTTTTGGGTATCGGAGTCTGTGCTACCCGCTTATCACCAAGAAAAAAAGAAAAAAAATTACACTCCTTAGGAGACGAAGAGTTTAAAGTTAATCGATTTTGATCATCAATCCGAGATGTTCTACGTATTGTTAGACAATGTTCTCCTTCTTGGACAATCAAATTAGTATTTATTCGAGATGAAAAATATAATAATTATGTAATAAAAAAGAGTTCTATTTGAAAAAAGTGATAATTTATTTTGAAATAAATTATCTCTAATCATAAGTATGTGATTTATGATGATGAGTGTCATGACTCGAGGGCCTTATGGGTTAACTGACCTATCAATTTCGTTTAGTCTAAATCACTAACTAAAATACTTAAACTGAAGTCGATAATAGTATACTCATCGGATCCTTATAAGTCAATCTTAATCTTGCTCATTTTTGATGTGGAACTATGGGTGTTACAATGAGCATTTTCGATCGAGATTTCATAGTAACATGTTAGATAAGTTAACTATGCTCGATATGTCGCTAATTGAATTAACTCTTATTTGTCTTTGGATCATAAGATAAGAAGAAGAAAAAAAAAAAAGACTTAGAATGGAAGGATTTGAATAAATGATAGATGAATTGAAATCCAAATCCATAATATGATGTTAAGTATAACATGAGAAACACACAATTATAATGAAATCGAACACCACTTAGCTTATATATTATTTTTGTTATTTTGTATGTTCATAGATATCACATCATAAAAAATAAAAATAATAATAATAATTAAAATACAACAAAAACCAAAAGCATTGCATATCACATCCAATCATCAAGTTATACATCATATATCAATTATCTTAAAAAGAAGAAGAATAATAATAACTAAAATAAAACAAAAACCAAAAGCATTAGGATATGACATATAATCATCAAGTTATACATCATATATATATAAATCATCAATTATTTGACCTAAATCAATACATCTTATTTTTATTTACTCACCACTGATTTATGCCCACCACTATCTATCATAAGGGAGAACAAGAAGAAAGAGAAAACAAGCAAACCAAAAGGTGAATAGCAACACATATGACACTACAAACACATGATTTAGTTATTTATTGTGGAAATCATTGATTAGAAATAATTGTGGTAGTTGCAAAAGGTGACAACTGATGCAATCTTTATCCTACTCTCCATTAGTTCTATCATGTCTCATGATATCATAAAATAAACCTATCCCAACCAGAGGTTACATGTCAACATCTCATGCTACCTTTAGCTGTCCTGTATTCACCAAATAAAAATAAATTATTCTTTAATAATAATTTTATTTTTGAAAATATTTAATTGATCTTTAATTTTTTATTTTGAAATGGAATATAATGTATGAATGAAATTTATTTTTTATTCCATCCTGATTAATCTCCCTTTTGTATCTATTCTAATTAAAATATATTAGAATTGACTAATATTTTGAGATATGTATTTAATGGAATAATAAATCCTAATATGAGACATCATCGTGATATAAAAATATAAAAAATAGGATTTTATTTCTATTTTAATTTCTCTTTTAATTTTTGAATTTTCGGATTTTTTTTGTTGTTCCCAACACATCTCGTCGATGATCTCCAACGGACGATATAAGGCTAATTACTATAAATCCGATCTAAATAAGGAGAATGAAAAGAAAAAGAGAGAGAGAGAGAGAGAGAGAGAGAGAGATGGGGGAAAGCTCCAACAAAGATGTCTGTGCTGCACAGACTGCTGTCCTCCATCTCTCTCTCTCTCTCTCTCTCTCTCTCTTTTT